TATATGCATTTACTGTATATATTAAATATAATTTTATATATATGTGTGTGTGTGTGTGTGTGTGTTAATTATATTATATTTCATATTTATTTAATAAAATGTTTATTTCTTCATTTATTAAATAAAAACAGTAATAAGTTGTTTATTAAATTGTGTTCTTTGCAATTTATGTACTTTGAATTATTTAATTTCTTCTTATCTATCTATCTATCTATCTATCTATCTATCTATCTATCAAATATAATAATCTGTGTATGTATGTATATGTATATTCATGGTGTCTCAGAAACACTTCCAAATCCTGGATCCCTTGCTGTGCAAATGCAGTCTGCTGAAACATTAATAAGCCAATGTAATACTCCTGTCCTTCTGTCCTTGTGGGCAGACACAAAATGGCTGGAGGGTCTGAGTGCAAGAACACTCTGTGTTTACCCTGAACATCTGTTCACCGTGTATTTCATTACACTTTTTCCCTGCTAGAGGACCCGCTTGAGCCCAACTACAACTTTACAACCTCTGTACTCGCACCCAGGCTCAATATATCCATGACGCACTGACTTGGGAACATTAGCTAGACAGACAGAGGGTTATCAGCAGGGCACATTGTTGTGAAAAGCAGCATCCAATAAATCTGTCAGCTGACTCCTAGCGTGATTTTGATTGGAAATCCAGGGAAAGATGCCAGAATATCTTCCCCAGATTAATCAAGGCAGATTAAATCTGGGATAATCTAGTCTAAATAATCCTAAACAGCATGGATATTTCATCTGCTTACTCGCCTCAATCTGTGGCCAAAACACCAAAGAGTGTGTGGGAATGGTGAAATACCTAACTATTCTCCTCCTCACATCCAGTTTGACACATTGATCCAAGCTAATTAAGGCTTAGACATGATCCCATAGAAACAAGTCTCTCAGTTTGATTGAGCATAACATAATGAGCGCCAGCTCAGTGAAGACCTTCAGTTCTCGTCCCTAAACCATGGCACTTCTGGACTGGAATAATCATGAAGAGGAGTGTGCGTGCCCTTGATGTGCTGCTAAGATGTCTTCATTTCTACACCATCAGTCTAAAATCTCATTGCTGGGAGCACTCCGCTGACCCATGACGTATCGATTTCTCAGGTGCCCTGACAAGAGAGAGAGATAACCTGGACAGGTTGTCCTTGGACCTCAGAAGCCTCGTCGCCTGTGATCAGCGAGCATATACAATTCTCCGTTCTCTGCCATTCAGCTGGCCAGCCGATGTATAGTTTCTGTCAGCAGCTGGAAGTACATCAATTGATGTACTGATGGGATGTGACAAGAAGGCAGCCTATATTTGTGTTGGGGGCTGAGCCCATGTCCCTCTCAGTTAAACTGAGTTAAAGTTGATCCAAGCAAAGGACTCTGGACATGTTAGGAGAGCTGTCCAGAAAAGGGATAATTTGTAGGGATATCTGGATATTTGGGATTATTGTTTTGCACACGCAAAAGCGATCTACAGAAGATACAAAATTGAAGCTCCAATTGATGTGTGTGTGTGTGTACAGTGTATATATATTAGGGATGTGGGATCTATCTATCTATCTATACACACATATACATATACACACACACATTGGTTTTTAATATAAAATAATATATATCAAAGATATTGATATATGTTGAGATGTTTTTATTTATGGAGAAAGGAGAAAAATCTGCAACCATGTTAAAACCCAAATAATTTTTGTTCTGATGAGCTATCAAAACATTGCTTTATTTGTGAGCCAATGGTGTGCGTTTGGAGCAGGACTATTGCATATGATTATCCAACCAATGGCAGAAGGAGGAGTGTTTGGAAAGTCTGTTTGAAACATCAAGTCATTATTTTTGCAATTGCATTTAGTTGGTGGCACAAAAATGACACACTTTACTCCATTAGGTCTCCCGAGCAATAAAGGAGCCACAGCTGAGCAATAAATTTCCCCCTAAATCTTTTACAGTCCTGAGAATCCTTAGTTACTTATTCATCCACACACTTCACAAGGCAGTAGCAGCGGTTCATACATGAATCTCTCTCATGCGAGTTCACCTGTGTGACTAATGCAGATGTTCAATTCTGTTGAAAAGCCCTCACAGCGGAGGCACTCACCCACCTGAGTCTCATGAAGAGGATGAAGGCGACCAGCAGGGCTCCCAGAGAGATACAGTGTCCCAGGTAGTTTATGATGACTGCAATGTGGTAATGCAGCTTGCTCTTCTTCTGAAAGATCACAAGGGACAGACACACATAGAAACACATTAGGAAGATGAGAGACTGATGTCCTGCAGATATCTGGCATCTAAATCCCAACATGGAATAACTCCTAAAAGCTTTCTGGGGCATTACAGGGAGAGAAAGAAAAAAAAACTGCAGGAGAGAAAAAAAAGTTCCAGAGGACTCTTGGGAACTCTATGAGGAAGAAAAATAACTCTATAACGGTACAGCATATGATATTTTGATACCTGTTATTATCCTGCCAGTTTAATTTCAGAAAAAACAAAAAAGTGTCAAAACCATTGAAAAAAATCAAATGGCAGCTATTCAGGTGGTAGGTATTGAAAATAATCCTTAGTCAACAATCTTCAAAGCAGGATATATTTTCTTCTTTAAACTATTCACATAAAACTGCCTTAATATGTCGTGTTGAATTTGTTATATTACAAATTTATATATAGTCCCTCATCATACTACTACTGGATTGGACACCTTTAACATCCTTAAATCTTTAAATTTTCTAGATTATTACATTTATCTGGTGTTGCCAGATTAGATTTGAATGCCTCAGTGGACATTAATGATAAAATAAGCATTAAATAAATAACAACATCACACAGCAGCCAACACACGGACTCACCCTTAACCTAATCACATTCTAAAAAAAAACAAGTCTCATCCGTAATCATTAGCCTTGCACATGAGGATCGCATTACACCGCTCTGCCTGACACTAATGCTAACAGCATCCAACCAGCAACTGTTTCCAACTGTTGTGAATATTTCACTCTGTGATGAGTGAGGCAGATGTTCATGGTCTCCACTATCACGATGATTGCCAACCTGACATAATTCTTTTAATTAAGCGATTAGCTTTGGCTCAGTCAAACGGTTGCTTGCTTATAGCACAACAACTCACATAAAGCTGAAGTTTATGCCCATGTTTGAGCTAACATGTCATGCTTGTGGAAAAAAAAAACATATTAATAGCCTGGCCAAATGATTCCATGAAGCATATGTTGATCACATAACACTCAGGTTAGTGTGTGTGAGCATATAGGCATCATGTGCTCTTTCATCGCCAGCCCAGCACCTTTCCTTTCTCTATCCCCTCACTGCGTCCTCCTGGTGCAAAAATCTGTCGCTGAATTCCTGTGGTCGTCACAGGACGGGCTTGTGAGGCAAACCCCCTCTGGTCACTGCAGACCCTGCGGACCACTGATACCAGAGGACCAGACTGTCCAAGCAGGGGGAGGAAAGGCAGTTCTGGAATCCAGTGCTTACAAATCCACAAGGCTCATGACACAAGCCAGCTAGCTAAATGTCCGCCGGTTCCCGCCTCCTTCTTCCCGATCTACAAACTACGTTACACACAATTTAACCCAGCAGAAACCGCTCAGACGGCAAATCAATCAGAAACGGCAAGGACTGATGTGCTTATTGCTTTAGAGATGAGGTAATCCTTTAGGAGAGAATTTTTTTTTTGCTCAACATAACATTGCAGTCCCCATAAGAGATATTACAAAAAGAGATTGACTTTTAAAGATTGATCTCTGCTCTCCCAGATACATGCATTAAGATGTCGCCAAGATGTCTGCCAAAGCGTGCATCATCTGCAAAGCACTATGATCAATTTTAGATGCCTTGTGTGTGTAAAAGCATCTGATAACAACTTCAAGGGTTAGTTTACAGTAAAATGATTCTCAGTTATTCACTCACCCCAACATTGTTACAATACCTTCATATAAAAACACAAAAGAAGATATTTGTATCAATGTTTTTCTACTGTTTTTGTGAAACAATAAAATTCAGTAGGGTCCAAAACATCAGTGGACTCCATTAACTTACCTTTTTAAAATATCTTCTTTTGTGTGTTTGAGCGTGAGTAAATGATGACAACATTTTCATTTTTGGGTGAACTATCCCTTTAAAAATATTGTGGATTCACGCACACTACTGTTCAAGAGTTTGGGGGCAGTAAGATTTGTAAAATGTTGTTTCTCATCAAATTTTATGGTCACCAGAGCTACTATTTATTACACAAAGCTGCTATTTATTAAAAAAATAAAAATAATAACAATAAAAAAATAAAAACAGAATGTTTTTTTTTATTTCAAAATAAATGTTTTTGATAATAATGTATTTTAAAATCTAAATAATTTGTATTTTGTATTTGTAATTTGTAAATAAAATGTAAATAATTTATTTATCATTTATGATTGAGATATCAATTTAATATGTTCATTTGTTGATCAAGAAACATTTCTCGTTATTAATGTTTAGAACAGTCATAATGCTAAATATTTTTGTGGAAAACATGATCATTTATAATTTTTTTTCCAGAATTCTTTGATGAATACAAAGTTCAAAAGAGCAGCATTTGAAACAGAAATCTTTTGTAACATTCTGAATGGCTTTACTGTTACGTTTAATGCATTCTTTCTGAATAATGTATTAGTTTATTAAAAAAAATACAAATAAACAGCAGTGTAAATTCTGAATTTTAAAGGTTCCAAATATATCTACTGGATGATGTTTTGACAAAAATATTAGCCAAAAAATAAAATTAAACTGGACACTAAGGGGTGGGCAACATGACCAAAATATTATATCACGATATGAGTAATTTTATTTCATGCTAACAATATATATCACAATATAGTTATTTTTGCTTTAAATAAGGTCTTTATGATATCAACATTTTTGATACCATAGAAATTTCATAATTCTTGTCAGCAGTGTCAATATCACAAACAACTTATACTAGCCTAAAACAACAACAACAACAAAAAGTAATTATTAAAGTTATAAAAGTGATTTAGTCAAGAGCAGCGAGAGATTTTCTCTCTTTTGTTGTTTGATTAACATGATTGACATGCAACAGGAATATTAGACTGCTGTCACTTCTAAGAGCTGCCCGGATCCAATACACTGTTACACATGTGTTTTCTTTCTCAGCTGTTTGCTTTCACTTAAAACCTAAATTACTGTGTTTACGAAAATGCTTGCAAATCATTTTGACGCTTACAAGTGTGTGTATTTAACCGTTCAAGGCCTAAGCAGCAAAAAATAACTTAATACTCCCACACTCTACTCTTCATGCGTGCATGCGTCTCTTTGACAGCATGTTATGACCCAAAACCAATTTCAGCTCGTTAAATCTAATAAGAGAGGCAAGGACCGAACATATAAGAAAATCACAGACGACTAAATTAAGATTTGACATCTATTTACGTCATAAGATTTAATCCAAAGGCAAAACAAACGAACAAACAACAATACAAATCCAGAAATATGCTATAATGAACAAAAGATTAACACAAGTAATAACAGTTAACAGGTAGGGCAGCTAGGGAAAACAGAAAACCTTGACTACACCTAACCACCTAGAGAGATCTTAGCTCCCAGGGAAAATAAAGCAGGTGAGCCTTGCGGGCCACTGCTTCCCTCGCTAGATCTAACTAAATAGCAAAACGTGAACTAAGAAAATTAAATCCACTACCCGTTAGTGAAAAGACAAAACAAAATATGTAAAATAGAAGTAGAATGAAAATTGGTTAATCAAAAAGTCAAGGAAAAAACTATTCAAAGTAAAAAATAACCAAAACAGGATCACTCCTTCAAGGAGAGGAGAGGAGAGGAGATGAGCGATCTCAGCAAATGCCATCACCAGATGCCATCAATGCCATCAAAGTTTTTATAGTAGAAATCCTCGATGACCTCATTCCACTTTCAAGGATCAGGGAAATCCCTACTCACAACTCCACCTACAGGCTAAAATAAATAAATCACACACGTGACAATTTCTCTACGTGCAAACCCACACAACACAGCGCATATAGCAAAATTAGTTTTCTTTCGCTGATGATTGCATTTAAACAGCTTAAAATCACTTGTTTTTAAACTGCAATGCTTAAAAACACGTGCAAACTTTACGTTTTCGTGACCACATAGCACAGCAACATCACGTGAGCGTGTAACCGCAAAAGAGACGATAGTCCAAAATCTCTACCGGTTGACAAACTTCAAACCGGTTAATCATGTCTACCAGTATATCACCCACCCCTATAGGACACATATCAAAGATGTCAATGATCCAGGAACAAGGCACAACTCCTACCCCAAACTCTCTGCGTTGGTTGAGCCAATGGCATTACGTCTGTCCCAGTCAGGCTTCTCAAACTAAACCATTACAATTCTGTTCGGTGCTGCTCTGAAATTACACGCTTTACCTTTAAACTCTCCCTTTCAACTGTCAGACTAAAGGATTCTAAGAACCCTCCACATTTTCTATGATTTGGGCATTAGTAGGGGTTCACACTCTCCCCTCTGATGCCACTTCTTTTAACTAAATCCTGAGAGAAGGGCTCTTCAAAGCAGCCTCTACTGATCCCTGCATTGTATCACGCTTGCCCTATTTTAAGAGGAGGCTCGGCACACCAACACATCCACGCTCACCAATACAGAGCAAAATGTTCCCCCTCGGGATGCTGCTGTCTCCTGGCTAGACTACGAGTCGTCTAAAGGCAGACGGATTCGCACCCGGAGAGCCTGTGGGAGTGCCTGCTTACGCATTCGGAATTTTGCTGTCAGTTTGTATTTTTACAATGCAAAGCCTCTTGTAGGCTTTCTGGGAATTTCTACTTCACTAGATACATGAAATGCTACATAAAAAGTGGGCCGTTCTCTGTGGATGCTAGCTGGAAGGGGGCTGACTACATTCTTGCATTAGCACCCTATCTGTTACGGACCCCGCAGGGAGCTTGTAGGCAATGGCAGACGCATTGGCGATGCCCTCTTGTTGCACTTTCCTCTGTACAGTGCTTTCTTGTGTTGAGAGAGCATAAGGGTTTAGCAATCTTAGCACCTATGTGGCTTGCAAAATACTTTAGGCAGTTGAAAAGAGGAAATATAGTCTTTTAGAGATGTCTTGGCTCTTGAACTTCTATCTATAAAGGACTGCAATGCAGACGGAAACCTCATCAGGAAACTTTTACAACAGTGTAA